CTTTAGGGGATGTAGGGCTCCTGTTTCATCTCCACTCTGAATAAGTACTACATTCCTGAGGGGTCTGATGTTCCTGCATGACTGGGTCCGTGACACTGTCGTTCGAAGCCTGCTAATATGGCCGGCTTAACAGTGCCTCAAGCCGTGAGACCATCAGGATGCAGCGAGAGAGAGAGAGAGAGAGAGGGAGAGCGCTCGTGCGCGGTGTAGGGGGAAACCCTGCACCACAGCCCTGGCGAAAGAAAGAGCTCGATAGGGTTTCCGAGTGGGAGTATAGCGTAACATACTGCAAATTCCTAGCCCAGTCTTTTGGCGCCCAGCCCAGATCACCCCCGGAGCCCTTAACTTACTAACCCTGACTCCCAAGAGCCACATGGCGCGCTGCAGGACCGAGACAGCCAGCAGGAATGGATGCTCCGACAGATGGCAGATGCTGTGGAGATTCTAGAAGATGCCTTGCTTTGCTAGGGCCTTGGTGCCCTTGCGTGTATGTATATCTAATATATCTATATATAAATGCACATCTGTATCTATATCCACACATACATGCATATATACATACATACATACATACATACATACATACATTCATACATGCATACATACAAAACATGTATGTTGGAATGATGGGTAGGTAGATAGATAAATTGATAGGTAGATACTTCGACTGATGGTTAGAACCATATCTCCATATATACATATATACATACACACATGTACATGTTTACGCACATTAGGTTTGCAGGGCTTATAATCTCTCAATGCAAGAAAAGCATAAGAGCCTTTCCACACAAAACCCCGGACCCAAAGGTTCAGCCAGGACAATACAAGAAGGGGCTGCACAAGTGCAAAAGGGTCCGAAGTTTAGATGGATTTCGGTGTCCCATCATGGTACCTTCGTGGTGGTGGGAGATGACCAGGAAGGACATATAGTCTAGAAGGGGATGAGATGTAAGCGTTGTAGATTGTGGGGGTTTCCAGTCTGTCTTGGATCCACTTTCTTTCGCCTCTCCCTGCAATCCGCTCGCGGCCGCAATATAGCCAGGCACAACTACTGTCCCCATGGACCTGGAGCTTTTCTTTACAGATGTGCTGGCGCAACCCGTTTCGGAGGAGACTTTTCCGGGATGCATCATTAGCCTGAATCCCGAAAGCCTATCTTTCGATTTTTAAAGCCCTTGAACCAGCAGAGATGATACTACCTTCAAGCTCCTTCAGCACGCTATCTGGAATCTAAGATCCCGATCTGCAGCAATGGGTCCTCCCTAAACCCTAAGCCCCCGCTAACAGCAGACGTGAAAGGGCCCGCAACAAAAAAAGAAAAAACAAGTCAAACCTGGAGCCTAAAGACCTCTGCGAGTCCTCAGCTTCCAAACCCTATCAACCCCTTAAGCCTGCATTGTCCGAGCGTTAGAGCCGAAAGCCCTTAAGCCCAAACCCCTAAACACCCAAACCATCCTAGTACCCTCTACAGTGGCGTTTAAATGAGCCCTTACGGTACCCTTTAACGGAACCTCAAAATCCCAGAACCGCAGCAGGAGCTCAGGACACGTGCCGTGTCCTGCTTGCGAGCGCTCGCGCGCTGCGGCGCCGCCGCGAAGTTCTCCTGACAAGATTCGGCATCGGGTTTTAGATTTTAGGCTTGAGTAGGCTTCGGGCTTTTGTGGTTTGCAAGCTTCGGGTTTAGGGTTGTGCAGCTTCGGTCTTGGTTCTCGCATGTCGGCCTCAAGATGATTGGGGGTCGATGTCTGGCTAGGCTTGAGCCCACTGGGACATCAGGCCTTTGGGTGATCCGGGCGAGAATCGACATGGTGATCTCACCTTTGAGAGGTCAGGGAAGAATCTTTTTTTATGGAGACAGATTGGGACTATTTAAAGCTAGTGGGGGCGAGGGTGGTGTTTTGATAAGTCAATGAAGAATCTCATTTTGCAAAGCTGGCTCTCTGCGTCCCCAACCCTAAATCCACTGCATGTCGTGGCAATTGTGCTAGGGTTCAGGACAGGTTCCCAGAGAGCCCACTTTCCATTAAAGAAGGAAAGAACCGTGAATTATAGGGGCCTTAATACTCTGATATACGGTATATTCCTCAAAAAAGGGTATTGGGCCCTCTCGGTTTATCTTGGCGCAGTGCACCTGTATAGCACCACACCTCGGACGGATTGGGTGGTATAACGTTGTTGCCTCGACTTCAGGTTCTGTGTCCTTGCAGGTTGTGTGCGGCAGTGGTGGCGGTGGCGGTGGTGATAGCTGTCGCTCTTGTTGATAATGTTCTTGCCACTTCTGCTATCATGGCTGATGTCGATCAGTCTTCTCACATCGCTGTTATCACCCACTTGCTCGCATGCGGCCAATTCAAACAATGCCATGATTATCACAGTTATGATGCTGACAATGATGCCTGATACTAGTGGCTACACATTCTTGTGGCGACCGTGGCTGTCACGAAAAGGTACATGACAAGCATGAGAGTTGTGACGACTGGAAACTGTGAATAACGAGGCTCCAGCTGAATAATTGTAAGGCACACTGAGCTGCTACCAGTGCTACTGCGACTTAGAAACACTACTCCTACTACTCCTCCTCCTGCTGCTGCTGCTGCCACCTAAACCTAAAACCCTGCCTCGCCTGCTTTGTCTGAGCGCCGAGACCCCAAACCCAAAGCCGCCTAACCCCGAACCCTACTGTTGATGATATAAATCCCGCATTACCTTAAGGACCCTAAACTATGGGAATTATGGTCAATTCCTTACTATGAGCAACGCAGGATTTATATCATCAACCGTAGTAACCCTAAACCGTTAACCCTAGACCCCTAAACCCTAGACCCTCAACCCTAAACCCTAAACCCTAAACCCTAAACCCTAAACCCTAAACCCCTAAACCCCTAGTCAGCCCCGGCCAGGCGGACCTTGAGCACCCTCGGTGTCGTGAGCGGCACCGGCCTCGGGCTGCGAGTGGGGTGGAAGTGGTTCTTGGGGGCATTTAGGGTTTATTGGGGTTAAGGGGCTTAGGGTTCAGGGTTTAGGATTTTAGGGTTTTGGGTTTTGGGGCATTTAAGGTTCATTGGGGTTTAGGGTTTTGGGTTTGGGGGCATTTAGGGTTCATCGCGGTTTAGGGGTGAAGGCTCTGAGGATCTAAACCTAAACCATATAGGGTATTGGAGCCCAAGACACCTCAACACAGGAAAAATGATCAAAAACCAAACTGTGCAAGCCGCTGACAATTTCAAGCATATTCCTCCCTAAACCCCAAACGCTAAACCCTAAACCTTAAACCCTAACTAAGGGGTACTGGGCTCTCCGGGCTTGCAGGCCTAACTCAGCGGAAGAGCCCTGAAGCTTCATCACCTGAAGCCGCGAAGTCGGTTTAGGGTTTAGGGTTTAGGGGATGCCCTGCAACCGTAGCTTCGTCCTAACCAAGCGGGAGGCAAAACAGAAAAGGGTTGATCCGGATCTTCGCTACGAGTTTCTGCTGAATGACAATCTCGCTTTCCTTGCTGAAGTCTTTGCGAATATTTGGCTTGCTCGGGTTCTTTTGCAGCATCCGTCTATCTATCTCGATCTGTCTGTCTTGTGGTCTTTCATTACTTCTTTCTGTTTCTCTCTCTACCTATCTATCTATCTATCTATCTGTCTGTCTGTCTGTCTGTCTATCTATCTATCTATCTATCTATCTATCTGTCTATCTGTATATGTATCTATACATACATACACGTGTATATGAATGTATTTGCATATGTTATGCGTGTATATATATATATATGTGTGTGTGTGTGTCATACATGTATATTACATACATACACTCAGGTCCCGAGACAGATCCATTCCAGAAACCGCCGAGGCGACAGCGAAGCCGACGAGGCCGAGGTATCCTTGGAGGTGACGGATACGGAGGCCTGGTGCTAATATAGGGATCAGGGTTTAGCATTTTAAGTTTAGGGTTGGACGATGTAGTGTTTAGGGGTTTCAAGTGTAGGATATATAGGGTTTAGGGTTTCAGCTGATTGGCAGAGTACGGGTTCAATCAAGGGTTTAGGGGTTTAGGGGCTAGGGTTGAGTGCGATGTGCTGCGAGGGAAAATGGCAGGGCGAGCTCCAATCAAGCCTGTGTCAAAAAGGGGCTAGGGTTTACACCATCCTCCAGCTTCAGAACTGCGATCTCTGATGCAGCAACATGCAGCAACCCTACTACCACTACTACTACTACTACTACTACTACTACTGCTACTACTACTGCTACTACTGCTACTACTGCTACTACTACTACTACTACTACTACTCTTGCTGCCAGTTCGACGGCGAAGACTGAGAGTATCCTTGGCGTCCCCAAATATAAGTTGCAATACCCCCAAAGGAACCAGTATAACACCCCTAAGCCCTAAACCCTAGACCCTAAACCCTAAACCCTCGCTCGACATGTCGGCCTTTGACGAGATTGCCAGGTCGCATCAGACGGGCGCCCTGTCGCTGGAGGAAATTCGCACCAAGTATGGCCGAGGGACCGCAGAAATGATCCAGACACAATGGGCCTTGAAGGACGGGGTTGGAACCGCCATGGACACGCCTGAGGACAGCCTTACCCACGATCAGTTCCAGGAAGTGCTACGCAGGTGGACAACGGGGGACATTACGGACTCAGGAGTACGCAGCCTCTACGGTGACCAGGTCCTGGAGCTCCTCCTCTCGTCGGGGGAACTGGAGGCTGCAGGTGTATGGACTCAGCAAGAGGGAGTACCGGTGACATCGCCGGCAACTACACCCCTTACAAGTTGGACTACCACCTCTACCTCTACCTGGGTTTGCGGGCGCCTTGATGCCGAGTGAAGGGGTGATTGCGGTGGAAGAGGATACGCGAGGGACAGCTGCTTCATCGGGAAAGGATATGGGAATGCGATCGGACTAAGTGCGGAGTGGTCTGGTGTTTTCTTCTGTGGGCCGACAAGGGGCTCGCAGTCCTGGCTGTACCAGCCTTTCGAGACCTTCGGGCATCGGAAAAAGGAGTTTAAAAAAAAAACCTAAACCCTAGACCCTAGACCCTAAACCCTAAACCCTAAACCCTAAACCCTACCGAAGCCAAAGGCCTCGATGCCGCTCGGCAACTTTCCGCTCCGCCTCGAGCGCCCGGAGACGCAGGAGGTGCCTCAGCGGGCAAAGGTTACGGTTTAGGGTTTAGGGTTTATAGGAGTTTCGAGGGACTGGTGTTGAGGATTCTTTGTAGGGTTTATAGGGTTTAGGGGAGAGCCTTCAATGAAGGCTTTGAAAAAGGGTACCTAAAGTCGAGGCACAGAGTTCGCCCGACTCCGCAACGGCCGCGGCAACACCCACATCTCCGTTGGAGGACAGACGGGGTTTAGGGCGGCCTTGGTGATCTCTACTCAATCTTTAATCGCTCATACGTGTGTCCTGAAAAGCAAGGGTCAGACTTTCGATCCTCGCTGCGTATAGCAAGTCCCAGCCAGCTCTTCTTGGCCATTCTGCCCGTAATTCTTTGCGAATCATTCTCCCGTCCCCTTCGGCTGAGTGGCGTCGTGTCAAGACGGCGCACCACCGCAAGCATGGAAACAGACAGCTTTTGTCATACACATTCGTGGGTACGCGAAGAACACGCCAGTAAGGCGTTTCGCACTCATCCTCATCCTCCTCATCCTCAGTTTTCACCAGCATCCCGTGGGAGGAGGATGAGGATGGTGCTGCAGCTGAGGCGGGACTCTAGGGTTTTTCTTGCACCGTAAGAGCGAGCAACCTTCATGGTTCATGGCTTTGTCTCCTTGATGGCTTCCTGGATGACTGCGGGAGTGCTGAAAGCAACCAGCTCAAGAGCTCCAAAGTCACTTTGGCATTGCTCATCGCAGGAGGATGTGGGGGAGGTCAAGGAAGTGACCGCCGCAGCCGCTTTGCTGCAGGTGTCTTTGTTTCTGTTAGACAGGAAGAGAGAAAATCTTTCGTGCAGTGGAGTCCTCAAACTGGTGCCCAAGCAAAGCAAAGAGAGAGAGAGACAGAGGGTGAGGGGGTTTGTCCCCTCTTGCCCCTAGCCCTGGCGAAAGAAAAGCTGATTAACGGATGATTCAGAAGCCGGCATTCTCTTTGAAACATTTGATGATCGTATTTGTACTCAACAGTTTCCGACATTTCATCAGCACCAAGCAGCTTCCAGTCCACTACACCCTAAGCCCTAAATGCCGTGTAGTAGTATGGCTGACTTTCATTTATCACGCCGTATATGTGCACATACTCCTGCTTGTGCAAGTTTCACGGATATGCTGACCCTATTCACCGGAGCATCCCGCGCTTAGTGATCTGACACCAATCGGCTAAGCAGCAAGAACCTCACCTGGCATGTCCGACCCTAAACCCTAAACCCCATAAACCCTAAACCCATAAACCCTAAACCCTAAACCCTTAAATCCTAAACCCCTGAACCCTAAACCCTAAAGTTGAAGCCCTAAGAAGGCGCGGAGCGGTGGCTATGACGGCAGCCTCGCCATGGCCAGCCAGGTCGCGGGGATGTCCGTGAATGAGTGCCTCCTTCACTTCTGGCATGCGTGACTATAGGGGCCTAAATAAGTACCTATACTAATTT